CCTTAAATAGGTAATATAGAAAAGTTACACATGTAGCCAATTGTACGCTCTCCTGTAGTGGTTCATTGAACTACAATGCCGACAAGTGATTAATAAAAGTCAAAAGACCAAAGAGGTCACCTTAATACCAAAAAAAAAAAAATAATATTGTATAAAACTTCAGTATAAACTCATGATAAAACTACTAGACATGAAAAGCAAAAGAACTAAAGAGTTAGAAACTCACTTGGAAATTTTGAGTAAGAAGATAACATAACATTTTTAATGATGCTATTGAACTAATGAAAATTTATAAAATACTTTCAAAGAGATAAGTGGATAAATCAGATAACAAGATGTATAGAGGAGCATATAACCAACCAAACTGCTAGAATCATTAAAGGAAAAGGATACTAAGATATACTATATCAGGTTATCTAGATTGGAAGTCTAGAGAGTCCTGTTAATCCTAAGTAGCAGTTAGTAAGAAATGATAGAAAAAACATCAGAAAGATAGATACTAAGGTTTGAATAAACCTTACAAGAATATAATGATTTAATGATTAATCCTAACTGTAAGTGATAATTTAGACTAAAATAATACCAAGTGAGCTGTAAGTATAGGATACAGAACTCACTAATAGGTTTAGTACAAAGTTAAATATGACTTAGTGATTATAACATATCTTTATTGATTTACCAGAGTTGTTGTTAAAGTGTGATAAATATAAGATTAAAGTGTTTAAATAAAGAACCTACAGGTGAGTTTTAGGTATAACAACTAGTATAAAACCTTTAGGCAAACTACTTAAATTAGACAATAACTAAAGTTGTATGAGTGGGTAGTTGTACACTTTTTCTTTGATTGTTACTGTGTCTGTTATGTCAACAGATGCTAACCAATATATATTATCAATAAAATCTTAGATTGTATATACTTACTTTAATATTTAAAAAAAAAAAAACCTAAATCACAAATACTTATTTTAATATTTAAAAAAAATGATTCTAATTGTATTTTAAATTAGATTATATAAAAAAATTAATTTTAAAAATTTTGTTAATTTCATTCTTTTTTGTAATATCTAACCCATATTCAACTTTTTAACTTTAAATTAAATAAATAAAATTAGTTAAATATGTAATATCTTATTTTTTTTTAAAAAAAAACAGAATAATAAAATTTTCTAGTAAATCTAATTATATCAAATTAAATTTAAAAATAAAGAGGTGTGGTGCTTAGTGAAGTGGATAAGTTGTCAACCTCCCAAGTGGTAGGTTATGAGTTCAAAACCTACTGACAGCAAAAATTTGAATAATCACCTATGTAATACATAGATAATATTACGGCGATGACATTTTGTTGATCAGTTGGGATAGGATACTTGTAACTATGGTTATACCAGCATGACTGACAGGTCATGGGGCAGCTGTGTAACCTTGATTACACAGAGGAATGCAAACCAGTACTGGGCAGTACAAACCTAAAATAAGTTCCTATAGCTGTGTAAATCCGTAGAACTGGGAAACTAAAGCCCACTTAGAAAGACCCAAGTAGAAAGGTAACACAGATCTTCAATGGTACCACTGTAAAGGCTAGACCTAGGAAACAGATACTAATATGAAGGAGCCGGATGGGCAAGAACCTCAGGTAAGAAGTACCACCAACCAGGCCATCAGAACTGAATTGGTAGAAAAGGATATCGGGCTGGCTCGATATACCAAGGACAGGTCACAGTCCTACTGAGCTATCTGGATTGGGAGTCTGGAATCAAAGCAGGGGTATACTATAAGTATTAGTGATATGCTGTGAAGTAGGTGCTAGGGTTTGGGTAAACTCTACAAAAGCTAGCCTTGTTAATGTTCTGTAGAGTGGGTAGGTAGTTAACAAGGAGGTTCCCCAAAACCTTACAGTCAGGTGATGTATTTTGAAATGTTTAATGGCTTGACAGATGTACAAAAGAGGAAGCTAAATGTTGGGTTAAACGGCACTTAGTTGTACAAGAACCAGGTGTTACTTACCTGGGTGTAGTATAAAGGATCAGAGTGTTTAAATAAGTACTCTTCTAGTAGGTTACAGGCATGACAACTAGTGTAGAACCCTTGGGCAGACTACTTAAATAGGTAACCAAAAGTTACACATGTGACTAGTTGTACACTTACCTTGTACAAGTCATATGTAATGCATTGACCAAAAACACAATAAAGGCAGTAGCTACCAATAACATCGGCTTTAATAAATAAAAAAAAATTTGAAAATAAGCAAATAAACAAGCTACCAAAACATTTATAAAGTTTTATAAACCTAACTTGCATATAAGCAAAATTGGACTTTTTCTTATTTAAATACTATGAAAAAAATTTTGTAATCATTAAGTTAAATGAATCTTTAATTAAACATCAATCTTAGCAAAAAAAAAAATTATATGTTTCAAGGCAAATTTGCTTAAAAAAACTTACAAATTAAGAAATAATATTTTTTATATAATATTTGAATGTTTGTTTTTAGACATTTCAATTATCAATCTTCTTAATATCAACCTTTTATATTAAATATTTGTGTAAATGATATTCATATATATAATAATAATAAATCAATAAAGAAAACTAAATAAAATAAATAAAAAAAATTATGAATTTTCAACTAAAACTATCAACTCGAAATTCATAAAAATTATATTGTAAACCAAAAAAAAAACCAGATAACTAAGTGCGACACTCTTGCCATTTTAGCAGCATTTTTTTTATTTTGCTAATTAAAATTGAATATCGTATGCTGTTCCGTACTGTATATTTTATGACAAGGTTTCGCATAATTATTTATTTTTGATCTTGTGAAAGCGATCACGTAATCACAAAATGCATAGTAGGAAAACACCATCCCCGTAAATAAATATAAATATATGAAAATCCACCTAAATCATAGTTTTGAATTTTGGATGTTTTTTTTTTGTATTTTTATTTTTCATTTAAGGGACTTTTTTTATGAACATTGATACATAGTTCGTTTTACAAAGCCTAAGTGAAGAGGTGATAAAAGGATATGGAATAAAACATTTTAAGGTCGACATACTGATGTGTAAAAATGCAAAACGAACAATAAAGGAAATTTAATTAACTAAGTCGGATTCGGTTGAATATGTTGTTCTATACGGATACATCCAAATGAAAAGAAATGATGAATATAAAGGGTAAAAGAATAAAATCCCAACATTTACAGGTCGATAAGACGTGAAACGAACAATAAAAGGTAAGAAGTTCACTAATTCGGATTATATTGTATTGGAAAATTTATCAACAAAACGGGAAAATGGACAAAAAAAAAAAAAAAAAAAAAAGTGAAATAAAATGTTACGATAACACTGCATTTCTCTTTTTAAAGGGTTAAGAATGATAGTATGATATACGGTGAAAGTTTTATCAGGATTCTCACTTGAATCTCCTAAACATATATATATAATAATAATAATAATAAAATCTAATGTTCAAGGAAAAATGCTAAATCCTACAGAGGTCGTTCTAGTAACATATATACATACATATATACCACATCACGCACATTTTATACATATATAAGTATGTATAGTGCAGCGACTTTGGTTTGTATTCCTGGGATAATGATTTCACGATAAGAGGTAGGAGAATTTCACAGCAAGCCGTGTATGAATACGGAGTATGGTACAAGAAAATGAGAATATTTAAGAATCGGAATCACCATTTGCAGTCACATTCAAACGACGTTCCTTTTCGCTTTCTAACTGGTTGTACAATAAGTAAAGAGCTTTCTCGTTGGCTTCGGGAGTGCCCTGGATGGTGAACATGCGTTCGCCAGTTTCATCATGAGGTGTCTTGGCAATACTAATACGGGAACCAGAGAGTCTACGAATTTCCGAAATCTTCGAACCACCTTTACCAATAATACAACCAACCATATCAGCAGGAATAGAGATGTTTTGGGTTCGAATGCTGGAGCTATCATAATTATTATTATTATTATTATTATTATTGGGTGGACGACGATTATGATATTCGTTGTTGTTGCCGTTGCGAGAAGGGCGAGTAAAGTCAGTTCCACTTCCAGTTCGAACAGTATATTCGCGACGAGAAGACAAATAACTTGAAGTGACCCTAATAGCTGGATTATAAAGGACAGTTCCGATACCTCGTTCATTATCCTCAATTAGACATTTACCAATTTCCCAAACTGCGACACGAATAGCGTCGACAGTCCCTTGAACTTCAACCACTCTCTCAGTACTCTGGGGAAGCATTTCCTTCGAGGCAACCATTCTAGCGCCAGAAACGTCCTGAATATGTTTGATCTTTAGTCCTTGACGACCAATGATTGTACCCATGAGATTATGAGAGATCAGTAAGCGGACAGAGGTATAAGCATTTGGAGGAGGAGTGATTGGAGTAGAAGTTGGACTAGCATTCACGGGGTTTTCAAGGAGAGTTTGGGCGATTAGGGAATATGCCTATCAAAAAATAAATGAATAAATAAATCAAACGAATATGTCATGAATGGTTATTAAAAACGACAATAATAAAATATAACCCTAATTATATGAAAAAGAAAATTATATAATAAAGTTTCGGCATAGTATACATCTATTTATGCCTTTAACACAATAAAATCCTCATGAGATTCTGAAAAAAAAAGGCTAATGTAATGACAACTTTCAATGAACATGTGCACAACATGTCAAACGACTTTTTTCATAAAGGTTTACTCGAAAAGATTAAATAAAATTCTTACCTTTGCGACTCCATCCAAAGTACCTGCTACAGATAATACCCTATCATGAACGCCTTGTACAACTTTAGACACGCCAGCCTTGACACCGGTTGTTTCTCTAAGCTCGGCAACATTTTTACCAGCTTTCCCAATGATAACACCAGCTTCTTTGGTAGAAACAAGGGCCCTGATGGTAAGTTGAGAGTTAGAAATATCTTCAGTCTCTTCTTCACCAGTTTCTTCTTTAGTTTCACCTTCAGTGCTTTTATTCTCTGGTGAACCCGCTTGATCATTGAGTGGAATGAAAGACTTTTCAAAAAGCGAATTTGTATTTGTTGTAGGAGCGACGGCTGTAACAGCTGTGGATGGAGTGGAGCTAGTGCCGTTACTTGTGACAGCGGTGATAGCCGTTACAGCAGGTGCAGTGGTAATGCCGTTCGTTTCAACTTGGTCTAAAAGACCTCCGTGGTTGGTGAGAGGATCATTTGCCATTTCGAGGACAGGGGGACGGTTCTGTCAAAATCAAATTCGTTGATAGAACTATCGTTGTAGGAAAATTCATGATATATTACATTTTTGCTTTTATACAATATCTGATTTTCACTATTACCAACTGTTCTTTAAAAATTATTTATTTGATATGTTGTGTAGTATTCTTCTATATTTTCCTAACATGGAACATGTAATTAAAAACTTCTTACCAGGTGAGGCAAACAGAAAAGGGTAAGGAAAAGTTGACAGAAAATTTATGTATTATTACTATTATTACTCTGCTTCTAAAGTTTATCAAGGATAAACCCGAATTAGGAACAAGAGAACGTTCCGGTAAGCACAAAAAACAAAATAAAAAAAAAGGTAAAAAAATATTGGAATGATCGAAGTTAGGATTTTTTTTTTTTTTTTTTTTTTTATTTTATTAGGGTGATGTAAATAGGGTACGGCGTGTTTGTAGTGTAAGAGGAACGGAAAGAAAGGGTGAGATTTTTTTTTTTCCCAACCGTTCGTTAAAAATTTGTTTTTCTTTTGGGGTTGGTGTACTACACAAAACCTGATTTTTGATGACGTTTGAACTGTATGATTGTCATGATCTTTCATTGATAAAATGCTGATTTTCAAAAAAAAAAATCCCGCAGCTTTGTGCATTGTTGATTTTAGAAGGGCCACCTTTTTGTACACCAGAAATATGCAGTGTAGACATGATTGGTCAAGCAAATTTTGCAATTTTGTATAACTATGTGAGGGTTTTCTGAACACAATATTCAGCAACCGCTGCATGAAAGATATGTAAACTCAAAACTTCGGTGCACATGACAAAATACTAAATAATTCAAGTTTGAGGATTTGAGGATATGAATTGGATCATTTGGAGCTTGAGTCAACGATTGAAGTTGACTCGAAAGCGTCAATCACATCAATCAATCACCAACTGGCCTGGCTAAATATAATTTATTAATTTTGATCGGCAGTTGAGAAACACGAAATTTTTTTTAAAAAAAAAGATTCAAGATGCCTGATCCTCCAATAATAATAATAATAATTTAAAAATTAATAAAACTAAAAAAATCGAAAATATATTTCAAAAATATTTAGAAAATTATCGAAATATTTCGAAAATATCGAAATAATAATAAAATTCATTCCTAAAACTTAAAGCGATATGAATTTTATTATTAGGCTAAAAATAATTGTCACCTAATAATTTAGTGAAGATAAATATTAGAAAAAATAATGATAACATTATATTAAATACTTTCATAATTTCAATACAAACCAGCTCTGAATGTTAAGCATCAATATTTCATGATACTTACGCCGATGAAACACTGGACATCTTACATTACTATGATGCATCTTTCATAGCTTTAATACGATTCCATTCGTTAAATACGCCAACTTCTTTACTATCTTACCTACATCCAAATCTACTGATATGTCTTCTCGTCAATATTTCTTTTAGTTGAAAATAAATGATGTCTTTGAAGTCACGCCCCTCTATGAATAACGCTTCCAAAATTTACAAGCACATTTATAAACCAAACATATCAAAATACAACTAGAGATTAGGTTATCCAGATAATCTATGTATTATAACGCATGATAGCAGTTTTACCCAGGTGCAATCTCTATCTCTAGCTCATGAGAACCTAACAAGATGTCAGTCAGAATTTCTCCACGAAATGCTTTAGAGCTGCCGAGTTAATATCTAGTCCAATCCAGATATTGAAAATATTGTAGTGCAGTAGTCGTGGATTGAAGTTGGAATGCAAAACGGAACTCAACAACGAAATTGGGATACAATGCAAACGTCCAGAATCGAATGTTGTATCATTGATACTATCATCTATTTCATTACAAGTAATTTTGTTGAATAATAGTACTAAATTTCTTCAATAAAGCATAATTTGAAGAATTTTGTGCGTCAAATTTATCGAGCGTTTAAATACCCACTGTTGCAACGTTGTGATTTCCTCATAAAAATAAGTTCACGCTGACTTATTGCGTAAATTAAAAGCTTAGCTATCCAAACGACTGGTTTTTAAAATCATACTTTGACTTACCTCAAATTTCATGGGCTCCACAATTGTGATTGTAAGATCTACAATAGGAATGGCCTACTTGTACGATATTCCTAATATTCATGTAAAATAATACCCAAGTGGTATGGAACTTGATGCACAATGAATATGAGAGTCCGAATGTCATGACGAAATATATTCCACATATAACACGATTCTAAACTATAAAATGCTACAGAAAAATTCAATTATTCTTAAGAAAAACAAACCAAACCAACGGTGCTTTCGGCAACTGATTAATGCACATATATTTGTGCACTATAGTAGTACTCTGCAAAATCAAGTCAAAGTTTGAATTTGAATGAAATATTTGAAAATAATTGATCAAATTCTTTAAGAATTTGATCAATTATTTTTAAATCTTTGGTTCAAAAATTCAAACTTTGACTTGATTTTGCAGAGTATCACACTAGAGACTGCATATGTCCTATGCTGGGCACATTGGACTTCGTGCGTAGATATCAATGTCTGCTATGTCTATGCCTGTAACCAAGAAAATGTCAGGCATTTTATTCTCGCGGACACAAAACCGCTTTGGGCCGAGCATTTTACTCCATGGACACAAAGGCTAGGCAATTTAGGACAGCACCTTTAGTCCACGACGAAACTGCCCAATTTATATCTGGCAGTTTGTGCTTGTGTCCACAAAAGCCAGGCAGCTCTAGACTAAGCACTCCATGCCTGTGCCCTTGCTGGACATGGGTTTGTAGAAGCCTAATTTGCACTTTTTCTTCATTGGCTTCCTAATCTATCAAAGCTAGTTTATTGATTTGCACACATGATCTTTTCTCGAAGAATACATGTGAAGGTATCAGAACTTTAAACCACTATCCACATAGGTGCCAACCGCGCACTGGCACTAATTTTCCGCTGGGTTTAAAAATAAACCATTGCGCGAAGTAGACTCGCGTCTAACAATGCTTGCTCAATCGGGTAATTTCGGGTTTAAAAATTATCACGTTTCAAGATAGTATAATTTAATATGGTCTTATCTTCCTTATCGTTATCGTCCCACAGTTATACAGTCATCGACGTACGTACGTACTGTGGCAATCGTCATGGTCTCATTTAGTCAATCAGAATACAGGAATATGTGGAATATGTGCATATGAATTTACTATAAATTTTCCGAGGCTCAATTGCGATAGCATCCGGGTCGGGACCATTTTACATGACCCCTTTGGCGCTCTATGTAGTACCTTGAGGGTTTTGCTATTGTGTATACTAGAATCATTTATCAGTATCACAGTGTATCATATCGTCTATATTGCGTTTTTTTTTTTTTTCTTCTCTCCCCGGCAGACCAGAGTCTTTGATTTAACAACAAGCCATAACCAAAAGACAAACAGAATTATATAAAAAATGTCAAGTAACCCGCGTCAATCTGCTGAACCACCCCGTGGTAATGGTGATAATGCAAACTTAAAACCTGTTCAAGTGAAGCTAGTGCTGCTTGGTAAGTTTACACCATCGGAAGCATCTTATTTAAATAAATTAGTCGTAATTTCTTTCTTTACAAAGTCATCACTGTCTTTTACCTATTTACTGGGATGGAATTGTTATAGGCATTAACACACAAACTTTTCTTGTTACAAACAGGCGAAGCCGCTGTTGGTAAATCTAGCTTAGTGCTTAGGTTTGTAAATGATGAATTCCAAGAAAACAAAGAGCCAACTATTGGTGGTAAGAAAGTTTCACTGATCCCAAATATATAGTTTAGTCACTTTACAGTTTATTATTTGTTTTGGCCTTTTATTTCTTCTTTAATTCACGGCGATACCTTTTTTCAAAAAACATAGCCGCTTTCTTAACGCAAAAGTGTCGTTTAGAAGATAAAGTGATCAAATTCGAAATCTGGGATACCGCTGGTCAGGAAAGATTCCATTCTCTGGCTCCAATGTATTATCGAAACGCTCAGGCAGCTGTAGTTGTTTATGATGTAACAAAAGCCGTAAGTCGTATAATTATTATAAAATAGAACCTTTAGTTGTTTAGTGTGATTTACCGACATATGTTTAACGTAATTTTTGGTCTTAACAATTAGGCCTCGCTTGATAAAGCTAAATCTTGGGTAAAGGAATTGCAACGCCAGGCAAATCCAAACATTGTTATTGCACTTGCAGGAAACAAAATAGATCTCGTTCAACCAGTTGATGATGGCGAAGAAGATCCGGTGGAAAGTGGGAGACAAGTTCCTACTGAAGAGGCTAAAGCTTACGCCCTTGAGGCTGGTTTGTTATTTTTCGAGACTAGCGCAAAGAAAGGCGATGGTGTGCGGGACGTTTTCACAGAAATTGGTACGCAATAATTATATACTATATAATTAGTATATACAATTAACTTTTATAATAATTTTATTTTATTTTGTAGCCAAGAAGATTCCTCTTGAGCATCTTATTAGCCGCCCACGTCAAGTAGGTAATAATGGCAACCCGATAAGCGTAATTCCATCTGTGCCGAATAGACAAAATGGAAGTAATAATCCTTCCGGATGTAGCTGTTAATTTTCTTTCTGCGAGAAAATAAGCTATGATAGATCTTATATCAATGATATTTTAATGTGGACTTTATTAGTTCGCATAACATTTTTCTTTTATTGTTTTATTATATTCATATCGCTTCTTTTATGTTAGTTGTGCTGGGGATAATATTTCAATTTAGTATTTTCTTTCGTGCTTTATACATAATCTTGGCTCGTCATTATAAGTCTTAGTAGTTATATACAGTATTCAATTTTAAGCGATTTATTGGATGGGGGCAATTTATTGATACAACTTGTTCGAAATTTTCAATGACATTTATATAAAAGCCTTCCTTTTTCTCTCTACAAACTGGCCCCCTCCGCTGTCGCTTTATTATATATATCAATTATCAGAAAAGAAAAATTCTATTAATTGCTTCTTTCTGATTCTATATATTTTTACTAAATTCTCTTTCTATATATTTTATGTTTAAGTTCAGGAAATGACTTTCTCTTTGATAATTAGTTTGTATAACAGTTAAGTTTTCTATTCTGATCTTTTTTTTTCTAAAATTATATCTTTTTTTATATATGAGCATGTGTAAATAAATGGTTATTTCTTTATCTTAATTTTATTTACAAGTTTTTATACTAAGTTTATCAAATATACTTATTAGTTTTAAGTGGCGTGATATTATAATTATGGAAAGAAGGTTTTTAGTAGCTTTTTAAAACTCATTATTCAGGAAACCATAAGCGCGTTTTTTTTTTTAGCCAGTAATTTACATATATGAATTTTCCATATATAAAAATCCTATAAATTGTTGGTTTTGCACCCTGAAATCAGACAATAAGAAAATGTTGCTTTGTACATAAAGAACAATGAATGATGCAAATGCAAATACCGAAACAGGTATCTTAAACAAAAAATATGCTTGTGCTTCCATGAATCTTGAAAAAACCTGTTTATTACTGAATTAGTATCTATAGTACATGTCCTCAGCTTGCAATAAATATCAGCTCCAAGAGCAAAAACTTGAATGTACGCACATACGTACGTCGACGACGACAAAGACAATGCGTTTGGAAACTATTAAATAACCAAGGTCGGAAAAATACATGCATCCAGTTTAATTTGGTTTAGTTTATCGTTTGAAATTGCTTGACCCTGGATTTTTTTATTTGTTTCTTCTGTCAATTTGTAATATATATTCGTTGTTTCGTATGAGATGTACGCGCATATTCTACTTTTCCAGCATGTATTGTATCTGTCGTGTACGGATTCATACATATCTTATTGGGCTATCATACAGGCCTGATCTAGGGGGCTATATCGCCTCTGATCTGTGTACTGACAATTACGAATCACTGGTTTAAAGTTCTCCAGTAAGAACAACCAACGAGTAAAACTATAATACAATCTAGTACATAATGAATCGAGCTAACATTACTAATAAATTGTTTAGATGTTATTCTAGTATTGAAAACCTGCAAATCAGTACTTGATTTATCAAGGTCAATGACTAGAAAGAAAGGCCATTACAATATTAGTATATTATTTTGAAAATTGTCAGTTGACCTGTTTTAAAATTAGAAATAAGCTAATAAAGTTTAATTTGGCGCATTACGCAAAAAATAACATACACTATAATATATTATAAAATAAAAAAATTTTGCTAGCCAATTTATAGTAATTTAAAGTTTTATTTTATTTATATTTATTATTATATATATATTTATATAAAAAAAGTGCGTATATATATATATATATTTTTTTTTAAAAAAAACAAAATTTACTATATATAGATAATCAGAATTATCCCGATTTTTTATAATACGTATCTTGTAGCAATAATAATTATTGCATTTTCAACTTGTAAAAAATTAAGTTCTTGTTTATTTTTAAAAGTTTTTAAAAATATAGTAATTATTAATATTGTATTAAAGTTTTATTTTTGTATATACAGTCAAACCGATATGCATAGTGAACAGCTTTGTATTAGTTTTGAGAGGTTATCTAATTTGAAAATACTAGTTACATGTTTATAAACAAATATAATTAGTTAGATTATATTTTTTGTTATACAAAATTTAATTTGAATAACTAAATTAATTTATATATATTATTTGTCAAATCCAATATAGATATATGATTTGTTAAATATTAGTTATTAAAAATAGCAAGTTATATATTAGATTTGAATTATAAAACAAACATAAAAAATTAATTTATTATTTTTATTTTATTTTATTTTGTTTTTGTTAAGACTGTTTGTTATCAGTGACTATTGCCTTTATTGTATTTTAATTATAATTATATAACTTGCACAAGGTGAGTATGCAACTAGTCATATATGTAACTTTTGGTTATCTAGTTAAGTAGTTTATTTGCAAATTTTATACTAGTTGTTATACCTGTAATCTGCTAGAATATTATCTAATTAAACACTCTAATCTTTATACTACATCTGACAAATAGTGCATAAGTTTTTGTACATTTAAGTGTTATCTAACTTAATGTTAGTTTTTTTTTTTATATATCTGTTAAGTCATTACATATTTCAAAGTATATCATTTAACTGTAAGGCTTTGAAGGTTCCTCTGTTAACTAGTTTACCTATTTTTAACAAGGCTTATTTTTATAAAGTTTACTTAAACCTTAGCATCAACTTCATAATATATCTTTAATACTTATATATTAAACAATTAAAGTTAAGTTTATAAAATTTCTTACTTTGATAAAACTAATAATTATTTAGTAAATAAATATATTTTTTAATAATATTTATATATTTATATTTTTAAAAAATTTTTAAAAAAGAATAGCAATCCTAGTATAGTAATTGGATTGTCATTTTCTAAATAGCAGATCTAAAATTCAAATTCTACTTACGATAAAATTTAAAAATTATATTTATATTACAGTAACTGTTACTTGTTAATCAGTTGACCTTATGCACCTGTAACCCAGGTATACCAAGTTAGGTCCTACTAATATTAAGAACTTAGAGCATTTATACAAAGTATAAAATTATATATATATAAAGAAATATATAACCAGTATTGTATAAAACTTCAATGCCAACCTACAATAAAATTACTAGGTATAAAAAACTAAGAAACTAAGATGATAGAAACCTACTTAAAAAAATTCTTGAATAAGAGATAGCATGAACTTTTAGTAATACCATTAGACTTGTTGAAGTCTATAAAATATCTTTATAAGAACTAAAGTTTAAACTAGATATTAAATATATATAGAGAAGTATATAACCAATTAGGCTATTAAATTTGTTAGAGAAAAAGGATACAGAAATATATTATACTAGGTCATTTGAATTGGTATATAGTATCTTTATTTAAGATTTTTGTTTATCTATTATAGGCCACTGCTTACAGTATCCTTCAAAAATAATATCTTCTATAATTAGAATCTAGGTATTATTCACTATATATAGCAATCTAACTGTAGGTAATACCCTAAGTACTTTTCAATTTTAAACACTAAGAGAACTAATTAATACTAGATACTATCTATCTTAAAAAAAAATACAATATATAACTTTCTTGTTTAATATCACAAATAGACAAACAATTTATAAAATATTTGTCTGATTAGCTAATTTAAATCAATTGCTTAACTAATTTATAATCAAATTTAAATTATACTTTATAAAAATATTAATATTTATTATATAATGCTATTTTACTTATAGTTATTACACTATAGTTTCTTGAATAGGATTTTTTTGCTAATAAGTTTCCTAACTACTAGTATTTCTTAACAACAATCTTAAGCATTAATTCTAATAATTAATTAATTAAATTATCTTTATAGTTTATATTTTAATTACTAATAATTTTATATTTTAATTTCTATATTTTAATTACCAATACTTATCTATGATCTTTTGCTTTAGACCAAATAGTGATTGATAATAAGTTATATTTATAATATTTATATTATGCTTAATATTCAATTTTTTTAAAGTTAATACACCAATATGCTGCCTATAATAAACTTAAATTTAAATTAATTTTAAAACTAATTAAATTTTAAACTAGCATCTAATAATTGTAATGCCTTATATAGCTATATATTTACAAATAATAAGTCTTCCAAAAAAGTTCTTGCTAGTAGTTAAATTTCTAAACATTGTTAATTTCTCTTCACTAATTGATGAATAATCTAAATATTTTAATATACTTGACATGCCAAAAGATGAATTGTTTACTGTGTTATTCTTTTTATGAAACTGATCTTTAAAAAGTTCATTAATTATAACTAACTATAATGATTTTTACAAAAATAGTATCTTATTGATTGTAGAATTTACAACAGATAATCTAAGAATTTGATAAGTGTAGTATTATAAAAAGTAAAATAAATTCTAAAAATTTTTTTTAAAGAAAAAAGAAATAAATAATTTTTAGTAAGATAGCAATAACTTAATGTAAGCTATAACAGATAAGTTATAAAATTAAGCTAAAGTTTTGCTTATATAAATAAATTATTTACTATATGCTGTTTGAGTAAAATTAGCTAATAATGTTTGAATATAAGGAAATGCTATAAGCATATATCAAATTATTTTTTTAATATATAAAGATCATTATTAAAATTTTTAAATCAAAAAAAAATAGGTAAACCAAGTGAATTAAATAGATCATCCATAATAGCTTTCTAAAATTCTAAGAATTGTCTACTCTAAACAATATTTTAATTGACTAATCTTAAACATTAATATAAATTCTCTTCTTATTTTTATAATATTTACAAAATTCATATTTTTGACCATTTTCATTATCTTAATTAGTTTCATTATCTTGATCACTTTCATTATTTTGATTGCTTTCATTATTTTGATTATTTTCATTATTTTGACTATTTTTATTATTTATATCATTGCAACTTCTATCTTCTTCAATACCAATTTCTTTTTTTTTACCTAATACTTTTTCAAAATCAAAAATTGAACTATCTTTAGAGTCATCTACCTCTGTAGAAATACTACAGCATTTAAAAGATCATTAAATCATTGCAGAGTCAATATCATCTCAAGCTTTTTTAATTTAGATTGCTACTAAAGAATATAATAGATGTTTAATTTTGCCTAATAGTGTATATTTCTTTATAGCTTTACTTATCTATTAATTATAAGCATGGTGAATTTATTTATAAAAAAATTAAGAATTTTTTTATACTAAAATCAAAATACTAACAGCTCTATCTCAAAATCTTGATAGGCAAAATCTTAACAAGACAAAATCTTAACAAATTTGATCAAATTTGTTAAAAATTTTGTTAAGATTTTGCTTATTAAGATTTTGAGATAAATTTAATACTAACTTTTGCTTTAAATAGTTGTTTAAAGACATGTCTAATAGTTGCAAGCATGAGGTTAGTTCATTCAGAATTATAGCAATATCTGTAATTTGCTCATAAATGTAACACTTTACAAGATCTGTTTTATGTTTAGCAAATACATTAAGAACAAGAAGAGAATGTAGATTTGAGCCCAAATTAGCTTGTTGACACTATATATTCTCTATTCACTAGATTATTTCTGTCTTATTTATCCAACTACTTGGATTCACATAGACATATACACCATCAAAAAACCTTTCTTAGAGTACATTAACTAACTTAAAAATAATAAATAGTAGAAGTTTAGTACTATCTGCAAAACAGGCTAGAGTTACTACAAGCATTATCAGGTGAATAGCCAAAGCTATAAATATGTTATAAGAAAGAAGTAATAGTTTGTAAATGAGAAAGCAGTGGTAGATGGTTGTAGAATAGAAATTTATTGTAGTAGATATTAAGTTAAATGTTGTTATAGTTTTGTTTAGCTATGTCAGTTTCATTATAACCTTTTAAAATAGCTTTTACTAGTTGAAAATAAGAGTAGTTTATATTATTTTTTCTTTATAATTAAATTTGTATTTGGTATATTGTTGTTTGTTAGAGAAAATTTAGAAAAAATGGGTATGGATAGATAATAAGTATAGCCTAATAGTTATGAGAAAAAATATTTAGATGAAGGTTGAGATTTGTGTGGTAAATGTATGTAGCATTTATTATAATCAATTTTAATTGATATTGTAAGTGTGTAGTTGAAATTGTTTAATTGTATATAGTTGTAATAATAAATGTATTTTAAAAAGAAGCTAAATGTTTGGAAATGTGAAAGTAGAGATAGGTTTAACCCTGCTAACCACAAGTTATAGCATAAATCTGGATTGTATAGTGTATTGTAAGATAAGTCTTGTAATTTTTTCTTGATATGAGATGATAAAATGGAATTCAAGGAAGTAGAAAGTTCTTCTGTAGATTCACTTACTATATGCTCGGCTTGCACAGCTGTGCAAGATACTATAGCATGTCCTATATGTTGGGTCTGGTCATTATTAATCTAGTTCTCATGTAAATGGACTTAACCATCTGTTTACTTACATCATTCTCTTTTAAAAATAGTCTACTAGCTGTAGATAACATCATTATCTTAGAAGCAATAGCTGCATTTATGTGTTCTACAGAAGAATTTATTGAAAAGGATTATATGAAAGTGTTGTAATATAATTAGGTTGTAAGTCCTGTTCATTGTTTTGGTTTGTGTTATTGGTATTTGAGTTAGATATTAAGATGTTGTCATCCAGAACTGCAGATGAATTAATATTGTTATTGGGTGTTAAAGTTTTGGATTTGGCAGAAGTATTTAAATTAAAGAAAATAGATTTGGTTTTGGATAAATTAAATTTGATATTAAATTTAGAATATAGAATTTGTTAAGCTTCTGGGTAGAATCTTTTATTATAAGATTCTTTAATTAAAGAAATAGGAAGATTGTTATTTTTAAGAATATAGAAATATATAAGTACTCTAGCTAAGTACTTAGTACTAATAGGTTTATTAGTAATTTTATCAATAATTTGATGTAGATAGTGGTTGTTGATTTGATCATTTGTAGTGGCAGCACTAAAATAAGCTTTGAAAAAGCTATAAAAATAGTAGCTTTCATATGCTTGGGTGGTTTTAGTTTTGCTGAGTTCAATGAATTCTTTTTCAGTTTTAGAAACAAGTTAACAAAGAAAGGTAATAGATATAGGTTTGTTAAAAGTAGCAGTATTAGGTTGGTCTTTGTTAAATATAGAAAAATCAAGAATAGAATGTATTTATTTTGGTTTGGATTGAATATTAGTTGAAGCTGAAAAGTGATCATATAAGTTGGTAAAAAAAAAAGAAGTAAGTTTTTAGCATTGTGTTTTGTATCATTAGGTAATGTTATACAGTTTTTGACTATATAAGTGTAAATATGATATAAAGCAGCCTTAAAGCATAATCTGGAATGCTCTTATAAGGAGTTTATAGAAATAATTTTAAATTCAGAAGAAAAAAATGCTTTGCATTCATTAGAAAATTTGAGAGCAATTTGGTATTTAATATAGTTAAATATTTTTTTCTAGTTAATATTATAGAATTGATGTTTATAAATATTAAAGAATTTTTTAAATCAGATTTTAAATTCGAATAAGTGGTTTTTTAAAAAAAGGATTTGAAAAGTTTGGAGAAATTTTTTTTAGGAATATTAAGGATTATTATTTTGAATTTTGAAAAGTGGTTAATTAATATTATCTTCACTAATAAAGTAGTTGAGTCTAAAGTAGATAGGTAGAGTTTAAGATCTTCATAGAATTTTTTAGCATGGATGGTTTTGTATTTATAATAAAGAATAAGATGTAAACAGGCTAAATTAAATGCTACTTGTTTTCAGTTTGTAGTAGTATATACAGAAATAGAATCATAGAAAGCAAAAATGCTTGGATAGTTTAGTTAGATGAATAAAGTTGTAGTAAATTCTTGCAAAAGTGAGATAAAGGTAGAATGAATTAATTCAAATAGAATTAAGATTAATCTATCAACTAAAAGGATTTGCTTTATAGATAAGATTAGTTAGAAATTTAGGTTTTTTGCCAGCTAGAGTTTTGACCAGATATTTGTAATTAAGTTTGGATTCAGAAGTATTTTCTGAAGCAGCTTGAGTAATTTTTCCTAGATAGATGTTAATAAGGTATGGTTTAATAAAATTAAATAGTTGTTGTGTAGTAGAATTATTTAGTTTAGTGTTATTTTTTATAGACTCGATTACATGGTATTCTTTAAACCAATCACAATTATTAGTAGTATCTCATTGGTTTACTTTTGGTTTTTGTTTTTGTTATAAATTGAGTTTTTTGTTTTTTTTTAATAAGAAAGATTTAAGAAGTTGGATTTTTTCAGTAGATTTCATCTATTGAATTTTGATAAGAGCAAGGATTAGTTTTTGTTTAAGAGTTAAAAGAAGAATAATTTGTTTTTTAGAAGTAAAAGAAGAAGTTTGAGTATTTAAACTAATTAGTTTAGATTTAATTGAAGCTGTAATTATTTACTGTTAAAATGTAAGAGGAGAGGTTTGAATCAAAGGTTTAAATTTAATATCTAATAGATAAGAAACACAGAGTCTGTAGATTAGATTTTGTTTAAAGATTGTACAGATTGTATAGTCAAGGGCATGACTACATTGTTCTGTTGCTATACAAAGAATATTTTTAGATTCACATAAAAGACATGTGTGATAGTGTTGAGAGTGTGCAACAATAGCAGAAGGTATAGGATCTATTTTGGAAGTTAGAAAATAGCATATGAGGTTTAGAAGAAGATGAATCAGATTATTGTTGTTTAGGAGTAGGTGATTGAGATAATTTATTAGCTATATTTTTAAATAACTGATAAAGATAGTAGAAGTAGTTTGGATTGTAGGTTGTCTAAGAGAAGTAAAATGATAGATTTTGTAGAACCAAGAGGTAAAGCTAGTATAATATGTTTCACAAAAACATATGTCAATAATAGGTTGTTAAGGAACTTTGAAGTAATGATGCTTTTTTGTTGTATCACAAGTAATTAGATTAATGTTTGCTAGAAGCACATATAGAGATTGAGGTTTTTTTTCTACCATTCTTACACTATGCCAATCTTTATATCTGTCATAGTAGTAGTCAATATCATAGAAATCAGAACTTCAGAGATTAAAGTAGGCATAATTTAGAGTTTAAAAAATAAAAACAGAGAAAATAAATAAAATCTTGGATATAAAAGAATCTGAAAAATTCAGGATATAATGAATAAGATGATATGACAAATAATAGAGTGTGACAAAAAAAGGATATGATGAGTAAGTGAATGTGACAAATAAGTAGCACAGAATGTGCAGACTAAGTGGTTACAATAATTAATGTTGAACAGATTTTTGTATTAGTTAATTGAACCAAAAGTAGAAAATTAGTAATATGGCTTTTGGTAGTGATTTGCAGATGTTAGGCATCCTAGAATACAGAACTCTTTCAAAAAAAGGAAAAAATTTTTTGTAAAAAAAGAACAGAAGTTTTGTAAAAGAGTTTTAAAGATTTTTTGCATAAAACCTTTAATATTAGTCCAATATTGATATATAATATATCAAAATGAAGCTCTAAATAAGTTCTATCTTTTTGTTTAAGATAATAACTAAGATTAGCTTAATAGATTATTGAAAATTTTTAAATAAAGTATTTTGCAGTTTAATATATATATTTCACTGTACAGAGGTTCGGAAGATATAAACCTAGGCTGACTATATGTAAAATTTAGTTGTGAACAATTTTACTTAGGAGGCTAGAAAAGGTTTACTTAATAAATTATTTAGTTATTGTCAGTTTATTATCAAAGAATTTTGATATAAGTGATCATCAGAAAAAGTTAATGATTTGCATTCTGTTTTAATTTTTGAGGATTGATTAATTTACTTAACTCTATAAGTTAATTTAATTAATAAATTTTTATACCTAATCTTTAAAAAGTTATATCTTATTGAGTTTTTAATAAAATTTAATAATTTTATTATTATTAAAATTAAAAAGATCTGTTTTACAAACTTTTTTTATAAATTAATATTAGTTTACTTAATATAATTTTTTAGTGAAAATTTAGATATAGCCACAGCTATA